GTTCCAGTGATTCTCCTGCCTCAACCTACCTAGGAGCTGGGACTGCAGGTCCCTGACACCACATCCAGCTAATTTTTGTATTTCGAGTAGATACAGGCTTTCACCATATTGGTCATGCTGATCTCAAACTCCTGACCTCAAGTGATGCACCTGTCTCAGCCTCCCAAAGTGCTGGAATGACAGGCAGGCATGAACCACCGTGCCTGGTCTTGGTCTTCCCCATTTTCTTAGATATGCTGTTACTTTTTAGCCATGACATAGGACCTTCTGTATTTGTTTTATGTTCAGTGAACTAGAAAAATAGTTTATCACTATCTTCCGTGTAAAATTTTTAGAACCTTCATATATTCATTGACACTTTAACTAGACTCCTTTAAGCTTTTTCTTCACTAGGTGAAGTCAACACTGTTACTTTAACTGTTTCTATTAAGGACTTATTTAATACCCTTTAATCAGTTTTGCTCTACTGCTCTGAATATACTCATATTTAAAATTAAATCTTCTTCTTAGATTATAGATATAGAAAAAGAACCAGTGAAGACAAGATTTCATTTAAGGTTTCTGTTATGTTCACAGTATACTGACTCTATTAGATAGGGCAGAGCTAGCTATTCTAACAAACCCCAAACTGGAAATGTCACACAATTAGAGTTCCCTCTCAGCTCATGTAACAGTTCACTCTCAGTGAGACAGACCATGAATGTAGAGGGAAGGCTCTCTACTTTTGACCCAAGCTGACAGAGGCCATGCCTTGCAACTTCTCAGGTTGCACTGGCATTGACATACAGCTAGAAATGGAGAGATAGGAGGGGTAGGAAAGACACATTTTCTTCTTAAACATCTGAACAAAGAAGTGATACATATTAGCTCTCTTACACATTACAGCCATACCTAGACACAAGGCAAGCTAGAAATGTAGACCCTGGACAGGAGCTTCTTTCCCACTGCCACCTTATGTGACAGAAGAGGGCATGACTGTTTGTCAGACAGCTAGCCATTACTGCACACTGAACTTCTAGTTTTCTGTTTATACTTTCATGAAACCATGAGGTATACCAAGCACTAATGTCTCAGTCTGTTTTGTGCAACAGAGTAGTATAGACTAGGTAATTTATAAAGAAAATAAATACATTTGGCTCATGGTTTGGAGGCAGAGAAGTCCAAGGTCAAGGACCTGTATCTGGTGAGGGCCTTCTTGCTACATCATCCCATGGCAGAAGGCAGAGAGATGAGAGAGGGCAAGAGAGAGTGTACATGAAAGCAAGAGGAGGAAGAAAACAGAACTCACTTTTATAACAAATCCACTCTTGTAATAACAAACCAACTCCCACAATATTGATGTGAATCCATGCATGAGGGAAAAGCCCTCAAATGAATTTTTTTTTGAGACAGAGTCTTGCTCTGTCGCCAGGCACCAGGCTGGAGTGCAGTGGCGCAATCTGCAACGTCCGCCTCCCGGGTTCAGGCAATTCTCCTGCTTCAGCCTCCTGAGTAGCTGGGAATACAGGTGCATGCCACCATACCCAGCTAATTTTTGTATTTTTAGTATAGAGACAGGGTTTCAGCATGTTGGCCAGGATGGTCTCGATCTCTTGACCTCATGATCTGCGGCCTCCCAAAGTGCTGGGATTACAGGTGTGAGCCACCGTGCCTGGCCCTCATATGAATTTTGTAAAGCACATGCAAACCATAGCAACTATGTACCATGGAAATCTACAATTATGTATGTGACAGCATGGTTTCCAGCCTACTGACAGTAAGGTGGTGTATATCCAACATGCCCTCTATCAGTGTAATTTCCTTACCATTAGATGTTTGCATCAGTCTACAAGATTGCAAATCATAGTGTCTCTTGAGACAGTCAGATGCTTCTGTGAGTGGTCTACAGTCTTCAAGGACCAATGTATTAATTTCTCTGAAAGGTAAAGCATGGTCCACAAGTTGCTTGCTAGAATGGATCCCTTCTTGCTCCTCCCTGACTTCCACAAGGTGTATAACATGGGGTCAGTCCCAAGTCCCAACAAGTTTAGTCTTGCAGGAGGAGGCTGAACTTGGTGCTAAATGTGGAGCCAGAAGCCAGGGCCGTGTCTTCCCAGGAGCCCAGCCAGCTAGGTTGCGGTCAAGAGAGGGCCCTCTGGGTGCCATCTGGCGGAGCTATAGTTGGAGAACCTGCTTTATCTCAGACCATACTCTCTGCTTTTTGGAATGTATTTTGTTTCATAGGCTGCTGTAATGGGAGAACTGGGTTTCAAGATGATTTTGGCTTCTGGCCATGTCATGCTGAATTAACTGCTGAATGGCAGGCATACCCTAGAGAAACCAAAGATAAATGCCAGTTTTAACAAGGTGGTTTTTAAAATTCTTTTCTCTGCAGTTAAGTATGAATGGAACCCAAATTAAGTCCAAGGATCTTATCAAAGGCAGGAAATTAAGAAAAAAAAAAGAGTTTGGGATTAGTATGATTTTACTACTAGTCAAATTCCTGTTAAGACCAAAGATTAAATATAAATTTATAAATTACTGTCATTTTATAGTGATTAAAGTCAAAAAGGTTTTGCATGTTACACAAATACATACTTGTGCAGATATATAAATATATTCTTGCATAAAAAGTTTTCAGAATTGATGTTCTGAAAACTATTTCTCAGCTGCATATTTTGAAGAGTGTAAATGGGAAATAATTGTTTTAATTGAAAACAATTGACTGGAGGTGGGTCAAAAAGGCTTAATATTTTAATGTAATACAACCTTTACTGTATTATGAAGGAGGCCAGTTTTTAGAAATCAGCTTCACAAGAACCAAAGAGTAGACATTTCTAACATCTTTACGGTTGTACCAGAAAGTATAAGCCAAATGAGATTTTGCAAGTTTTTGCTTGCTGATACGTTTTACCTAATACTGCTTGTAGTAGCAGATTTTCAGTTGTATTGAATGTTGTGGTTTCTCATTTTAAAGCCAAACAACCCTTCTCTCTGCCAAAAAAGTCCAGCAAAAAGTGTATCCTAATCCATAGCAATTCACTTCGGAGCAGTTAGGAAGTTTATTATTTTATTTTTCTGTGAGTGGCTAAGGCAAGTATTCACTTTTCAGAATTATTGACTTTTTAATGTTATATGCTATTGAATGACTGTTATTGTAATTGGTTTGTTATGTGTACTGTGGCCTTTGGGTTTCTTACATTTTTTGCATAGATGTTATTTGTCTTTCTGAAGGCTACTTTAAAAATACATCAAATCTTACCTTGACCTTTTGACTTAGGACTGGTTTTATTTAATAGGATAAGTTGATTGCATTTTGGTTAAAAAATTAAATTGTTACTTGGTTATTGGAAAAATAGTCCCCTAGCAATGATGTATTACCCTATTCTCTTGACCTAAATGGATTTGGGATGATGAAAGCCCATTGACACATTTGTCAAAACAAGAATAATGAATGTAACAAAAAGTCATTTCCTAGAAATGTTTGGCATAATTGCTGACATGGTAATATGATTAATACAGTCTTTTGGTGGTCTTTGCAAAGACTTCAGGGTTTAAATCACCAGGAAGAAGTTAAAAATGTAGCAATGCCCTATCAATAATACACATAAGCAAGGATAAAATAGTTTTTCCACATGATGCCATGGAACCATGTTGTGCAAAATTACATATATGTGCTTTTTAGAGCATTTTGCCCTGAATTGGATTATGCTAAAAATTATTAAAACTTAGGAATCCATCAGCATGTGGACTGAGATTCCTCATGGTGGGAAGCCAGAAATATTGACCTTTTATTATTTTTTTCTTGTTTAGATTTATCCAGTGAATGGGCAGATACATATTAAATGCTCAATATAAGCTTGCTGAATTGAGTTGTTGTGGTAGTTCTGTCTTCCAGTTCTTATAGATGCTGTCCTACACAACTCTAGGGTTTCTTTTTTTTAAGTGAAAACTGAATATTATTATAAAGTTGGTTCCAATTCCAAGGAAAAAACACAAACCTCCACAATATTAATATTTTGTCCAGATAAAATGTCATTGCTTCACAGGCAATGAAAATCTATTAAGGGTGGTTTTATATGTAATTAATAACAGTGTTTTTTTTGCAACAATGCAGGAAATATTTTATAACACATAAATAAGCAAAACAGCTGAGATTATTAAGCATCTTTTTATTTTATTAACTGAATAATTTTGCAATTCATAGTTGTCCTAATATTTGAGTGCAGTCCAGAGTTCCTGAATTGACACTTGTTTTTCTTCTCTGAAGAGTTTGTCAGGGGTTGATAGTATGACTTCTGTTTCCAGAAATCTGAAGTTCAAAAAGACACAAATCCTCCCTTAGAAACCTTGGGTGTCACTGAATTGGTTGTTTAAAGAAATGAAACTTAATGTGCTCAGCTGTGATTGTTCTACTCCCCATCCCTCCTCTCTTTCTCTGGCTGATTCTCAGCTGGAATATTTGCAAAGGAAGCACTGAGGCTGATTGGAGGCGAGTTGGAGATTGCAGAGCTTGGGAGCTGTCCACCGCTGAGCCTTTATCACAGCCCAGGTGGAACTTGCCCCTCAGATCTTGGCTGTTCCCAGCTTCTCTTTACGACCCTCATTGACAACTTGGGGCCTTTCAAACATAACCTAAAAAATTCCTATGCTACCAAATAAAAAATCTAAATAATAGTAAGCCCATAGCAAAGAAGTATTTTATCCACACTGTATAGATACATTACAAAAAACAATTTCTTCCTGTAAACTGTAAAGAGGAATCAGACATGACTCTCGAGACTGGAATCCATTTAATGGGATGTCCACCAGAGTTCTGGTCACTTCTCTGCTGTCACTTTTGATCGAAGCCAGCAGAGGTATGTTTTGGCAAATCGAGTCATAATTTCTCTTCTTTGCAGGGCTCTCTCTTTAATTGTGTTTCCCATCAGGGAGTCAGTTGGAGTTAATGTATTGACAGTCTGCTGTGATTGATGACAATCAATGTCTTGTTAACATTTCCCCCATGCTTTAACCCACAGAGCAATGCTAAGAAGACCTTTGGTTTGAAGAATTAAAAGGAAGAACAACTTCTTCAGATAAGAAGAGCTTCTTCAAAGGTAAGAGTTTGTCTTCTTAAAACATTTGAATTCATAGTCAAAGATGAGAATTGTAATATTAAATAATGTGATTGTGTAATACTATTGCCATATTTAATACTTTTCAATCCAGAGAGTATAATAAAAGACAGAGAGTAGAAACATAGATGCAAAAGCATTAATCATACCGGTGTCAAAGAAGATAGATCAAATACATAGGGAAGAAAACCAGCCCTCAGTCCTTTCGTAGTAATAAGATTTTTATTTTACTAAATCATGAATCATAAAGCCCAGAAAATAGAGAGTGGAGGGAAAACACTCCTAGTAAAAATGTTTATAAAGGAACTAAAGATTAAAAATTAGAGGAAATCATTTACAAGAAAATAATTTTCTTTTTGATTCAGTTATATATCAAAAGTCTCCTGAGAGTTATACCATCCATTAATGATTTTTCTTGTGTCACAGTGGAGTCCAAGGAATAAAAATATCTCTTTTGAAAGTTTAAATGTGTTTCCGCTTTGTATATTCCTTCCGCATTTCTTATTTCCTACTTTGCTGTCCACCATATTCCTACGTATGCCATTCAGCTTTATCAGCTCTAGCATGGACCCTGTTAGTCCTGTGGTGCCTTGTGAAAGGCCATCTATTATAGTAGCAAACTTGATGAAAAATAATCTCACTTGGAGATCTGGAACACAGTTCAGAGAACTGTATCTCAACCAACAATAGCATTTTTAAGGAATTATGAGAGCACGATTGTTCAGACATTTAGTTCTTTTTTTTTTTTTTTTTTTTTAATTTTTTATTGGATTATAGGTTTTGGGGTACATGAGCAGAGCATGCAAGACAGTTGCGTAGGTACACACATGGCAGTGTGCTTTGCTTTTCTTCTCCCCTTCACCCACATTTGGCATTTCTCCCCAGGCTATCCCTCCCCACCTCCCCCTCCCACTGGCCCTCCCCTTTTCCCCCCAATAGACCCCAGTGTTTAGTACTCCCCTTTCTGTGTCCATGTGTTCTCATTTTTCATCACCCACCTATGAGTGAGAATATGCGGTGTTTCATCTTCTGTTCTTGTGTCAGTTTGCTGAGGATGATGTTTTCCAGATTCATCCATGTCCCTACAAACGACACGAACTCATCATTTCTGATTGCTGCATAATATTCCATGGTGTATATGTGCCACATTTTTCCAATCCAGTCTATTATCAATGGGCATTTGGGTTGATTCCAGGTCTTTGCTATTGTAAACAGTGCTGCAATGAACATTCGTGTACATGTGTCCTTATAGTAGAACGATTTATAGTCTTTTGGATATATACCCAGTAATGGGATTGCTGGGTCAAATGGAATTTCTATTTCTAAGGCCTTGAGGAATCGCCACACTGTCTTCCACAATGGTTGAACTAATTTACACTCCCACCAACAGTGTAAAAGTGTTCCTTTTTCTCCACATCCTCTCCAGCATCTGTTGTCTCCAGATTTTTTAATGATCGCCATTCTAACTGGCGTGAGATGGTATCTCAATGTGGTTTTGATTTGCATCTCTCTGATGACCAGTGACGATGAGCATTTTTTCATATGATTGTTGGCCTCATATATGTCTTCTTTCATAAAGTATCTGTTCATATCCTTTGCCCACTTTTGAATGGGCTTGTTTGTTTTCTTCCTGTAAATCTGTTTGAGTTGTTTGTAAATTCTGGATATCAGCCCTTTGTCAGATGGGTAGACTGCGAAAATTTTTTCCCATTCTGTTGGTTGCCGATCCACTCTAGTGACTGTTTCTTTTGCCGTGCAGAAGCTGTGGAGTTTGATTAGGTCCCATTTGTCTATTTTGGCTTTTGTTGCCAATGCTCTTGGTGTTTTGTTCATGAAGTCCTTGCCTACTCCTATGTCCTGGATAGTTTTGCCTAGATTTCCTTCTAGGGTTTTTATGGTGCCAGGTCTTATGTTTAAGTCTTTAATCCATCTGGAGTTAATTTTAGTGTAAGGTGTCAGGAAGGGGTCCAGTTTCTGCTTTCTGCACATGGCTAGCCAGTTTTCCCAACACCATTTGTTAAACATGGAATCCTTGCCCCATTGCTTGTTTTTGTCAGGTTTATCAAAGATTGTATAGTTGTATGTATGTTGTGTTGCCTCCGGTGCCTCTGTTTTGTTCCATTGGTCTATATCTCTGTTTTGGTACCAGTACCATGCTGTTTTGATTACTGTAGCCTTGTAGTATAGTTTGAAATCCGGTAGTGTGATGCCCCCCACTGTGTTCTTTTTGCTTAGAATTGACTTGGCTATGCGGGCTCTCTTTTGGTTCCATATGAAGTTCATGGTGGTTTTTTCCAGTTCTGTGAAGAAAGTCAATGGTAGCTTGATGGGGATAGCGTTGATTCTGTAAATTACTTTGGGCAGTATAGCCATTTTCACGATATTAATTCTTCCTAACCATGATCATGGAATGTTTCTCCATCTGTTTGTGTCCTCTCTGATTTCGTTGAGCAGTGGTTTGTAGTTCTCCTTGAAGAGGTCCCTTACGTTCCTTGTGAGTTGTATTCCAAGGTATTTTATTCTTTTTGTAGCAATTGCGAATGGCAGTTCACTCTTGATTTGGCTTTCTTTAAGTCTGTTATTGGTGTAGACGAATGCTTGTGATTTTTGCACATTGATTTTATATCCTGAGACTTTGTTGAAGTTGTTTATCAGTTTCAGGAGTTTTTGGGCTGAGGTGATGGGGTCTTCTAGGTATACTATCATAGACATTTAGTTCTTTACCTTGTTGATTTCATTTGAGAAGTAAACTCATGGATTTTAGTTAAGGAAAAAAGATTGTATACAAGATTTTGAGATAGTAAAACCCTTTGAGCCTGTTGTCCCTCGTTCTTGATAATTTTTAGATTGATCCATAGAGATGTCCTTTTGTAACTGAGAGGAAATGATTCATGCCTCAGCTGAATTTGCTTCCATTGTGTTGTATTGAAACTGACTTCATATGACTAGTTCTTACAGTGTTTCAAAATACCATCAGAAATCCTTAAATTAGTAGCCTGGAAACTAAGAATGTGGCTTTGTAAATCAAATAGCACAAATTTTGTTTGACTTGAACAGTCCCTGGAAAGTGAAAATTATAGCAAAGACTAGCAAAATCGGTGTTAGGTAATTATGACCAATACTGAAACAGTCTTAATTTTGTACAAATGGCTCTTTTAAGAGAAAGAGCCATTTGTTTGATTGCTCCCTTTGTTTGATGCAAAATGACCTGTTTTATAAAGTTTTTATGTACCCCTCTCCTCTGCAAATGTCCTTATTTCACAAAGAACACCTGCAAGGTAAAGCAATGTGATAGTAAATACCATCCATCTGACAGGGACATATACCCAATTACAGTTGTTAGAAACTAGGAGTTACTGGTAGTGGTGTTAAGTATGGTGGCTTACCAATGCAATACAAGTATCAGCAGTAAGGTATGGCAAATTCTTCCATAGGTAATATATTGTGTGATATCTATGTGGTAATAAGACACCGAGGGTGGGAGTTTATTTGTAAAACTGGTGTTTTCTGGTGAGCAGGGAAAACAGTGGTCACTGTAAAGAAGTCCATGTTGCCCTTTTAAGGTGGCAACGTTGGACTCAACAGCAGGTGCTTTCCCACTTCCTAGCCCACTCTCAGGTAGTTTTAAGGGAGTTTTTTTCTGGCTGAATCCACTATTTTCTCTTTCTTTCATCATGTGAACGGTATTTGATTGAAAATCCCTGTCTTGTAGAACAACAAGTGAAAAGGCTTGATTCTTCTTTTCTCAATACACACTTCTTGTTGATCTTTCTGGCTAGCCTTTTGTTAATTGGCTAAGAGAGCTTTTAGTTGTCGGGTGCTGTGAGAGCCACTAAAATACCTCATTTTATCGTTTTGTGAATGGTTTCATCTTGTCAAAACTAAATACTGAGAGTCTTCCCAATTTGTCTCTCTGGACTCACAAAGACTGGCTGAAACTTCCCAAAATTCTAAAGCACACTTATACTCAGAATGTCCCGAGGCTATTCAAGTATTTGGCCTCTGAGATTAGAATAGCTCAGTTTTTTTTTTTTTATTTTTCATAGCTACTTAGAGTTTTCAGTAGTTCTTCCCACATTCACTGGTGTGCTGTGGTATTCAACAAACTATGTGCAGCCACAGTTGTGGACTGTGGTTTGCAAACTCTCAGGCCCATCCCACATCCTTCTCTTTGGGAAGTGCCTTCTATCTGCCCTTATCCAGTGTCACACATAAAAACTGCTCACTTTTCCCATTAACCCTAATGTGTACATTCTCCCTCTGGGACATCTGACTTCTACCTGGGTTGAAAACCTCGAGCTAAAATGCAAGGCTGCTAGTGGTGGCATTTTGATAATCAATCAGAGTGAGGAGAAAGGATGCCTCTGAAATCACTTCATAAAATGAGATTCCTGCTGGCCACATTTGTGTAAGGTTGGTCCTGGTAGTAACCATGAGGAGTCTGAGGAAGAAGTATGCCCAGGCGGCACCGTAAAGCATGTTCTCATTTGGCAACCTGTGTGTGAAGAATAACCTGAGAGGGCGTTGGAGTTACCTGCTGACTGTTCTGGCTGATGACATGAAAGTTGTTCTTTCCCTTGGACTTTACAATGCTGAGTTGTTAAAGTTATGTATACCTCTTAGGAGAAGGGTAGTTATATTCCGAATAGACAATAGTAAAACTGGGAAGAGTAAAAAGACTTTTATAATTAAGTTGATTTGTAAACATAAACCTGTATTTTATTACAAAGTCCTGATAGTTATACAATTTTAGTACTATTTATTTATTTATATTTCTTTCTTTCTTGAGATGGAGTCTCACTTGTCACCCAGGTTGGAGTGCAGTGGCACCGTCTTGGCTCACTGCAACTTCCGCCTCCTGGATTCAAGTGATTCTCATGCCTCAGCCTCCTGAGTAGCTAGAATTACAGGTGCATACCACCATGCCTGGCTATTTTTTGTATTTTTAATAGAGACGGGGTTTGCCATGTTGGCCAGGCTGG